GTTTTTGAGACAGAGTTTCGCTCTTGTTACCCAGGCTGGAGTGCAATGGCGCGATCTCGGCTCACCGCAACCTCCGCCTCCTGGGCTCAGGCAATTCTCCTGCCTCAGCCTCCTGAGTAGCTGGGATTACAGGCACGCGCCACCATGCCCAGCTACTTTTCTGTATTTTTAGTAGAGACGGGGTTTCACCATGTTGACCAGGGTGGTCTCAATCTCTTGACCTTGTGATCCACCCACCTCAGCCTCCCAAAGTGTTGGGATTACAGGGGTGAGCCACCGTGCCCGGCTAATTTTTGTATTTTTAGTAGAAATGGGGTTTCGCCATGTTGGCCAGGCTGGTCTTGAACTCCTAACCTGAGGTGATCCACCCACTTCAGCCTCCTAAAATGCTGGGATTACAGGCATGAGCCACCATGCCCGGCTGGAAGGTACAATTCTGAGGACCCGAGGACTCAGTCCCACAAGACTGACCCCACCTCAGAGCCCAGTTCCATGGGTGTGAGTTCTTGGTTCCACAGTCGTTCAACTCTAATCCGGACATCTTTGACTCATCAGAGAAATGCTGTTGATCATCTCTGGGTTTAAAGGGAAGCACTTAGGGAGAGCCACTCACATCAGATTGGAGACACCGAATTTGGAAACACTCCAGTGTCTCACAGGAGACCAGCCGTCTGATTCTTTAGGGGGCAAACGACCTCAGCAGAGGGTGGATTTTATCGCCAGAAAAGATGAGAGGAGGTGAGGGGGAATGCCTCATTGGAAGTGACACCTAATTACCAGTTTCTTATCCTGTTTCCAGGCACTGCAAAAGAGAGTCCTTCTGGGTATCTGGTCTACCCTTCACCTGCAAATGCAAGGACACACATACTAAGAGGGTGAATCAGGGCTGTTTCCTCAGCTTAATCACGAGCTCTGGTAAGGGCGGAAAATGAGTCTCACATTGTGACGCTCCATTTCCCACTCCTGCTTAGTTATTCGGGAGCTGTTGATGGGTGACACTTGCCTCTGAATTGCGGTGACTTTCAATACCCCTAAGTGTGGAATTTAAGGAGGCAGGCCTCTGCACAGAATGATAATGCATATTGGGGTGGGGAGGAATTGCTGCCTGGAAAACAGGAATATATCAGATGAGAAACACCTTGCTGAGACTCTCAGAAAACTTGTGAGGTGATCGTTTTTGCTAAAACATACTGTTGGAAATAGATGCTTGGTGCCACAAAGGAAAATTAGCACTGAGACTAAAGATCTTTCAGCAACACAATTTTTCCTTCCTCGACTGCAGGAAGGGCACTCTCACTAGCCATCTTGCCATGAGAGTACAAAGAACAAAGGAAATACATGCAAATTTATCCCTACGCATTCGGGGTTGTCCTTACTGCTGTGTCTGATTTCCATTGGGTGGAGCCAGACCTCACAATCTAAACCAAAACCCGATTGGCTAACAACTTAAAACTTTTCTAAACAGGTAAGGCAATGGAGAGCTGGGACGTGCCTGGGAGCATGTCCAGCACAGATATCTTGGTTAAAATACAAGGACAGAGAATGTACTACGTGCCTGTAAGCATGGCGTGTCTAACAGCTACGTAGGATAGGGCTCAACAAAGTTATCAGCGCACTTATTCTCTAACAAGAAAGGAAACTTTAAAAGGGAACTTTTCGACTTCGCACACTGAGCCATTGCCTGATGATGAAGGAAGGGATGAGCAGAAGGGAGTCAGGGGGATTTCTCATCTCATTTGGGACGTACATGCTCGTCACTTCAAGGATGAGATGTGTTCCTGGAAAGTTGAAATTGAAATTGTTATAGCCCGAATCACTTTTTCCATTACTTGCCTTGCAAAAATGGTTCCTTAGAATATTCTTAGGCTCTAGGAGGTAATAAAACCACAGCTAAGGCTATGGCGAACCTTTTCACGTGATCATTTTTTAGCTGCAACTGGCCGTTTTCTTATATTTAAAGAAATCACATTCTGAAAAATGCAGCATAAAATAGCTGTGGTTATTTCTCCTTGTGGTACAATCGTTTCCATGTCAACAACCGTTTACTGGAGAGTTTGTAAGTTTGGGGCACCTGGCTAAGCATTTTCACACAGTATCTAATGTAGCTGCCACCTCAGTTCTGCAAGCTAGAGATTATCTCCTTTTTGGGAGATGTAATAATAAAATTGAGGACAATTAAGGACGTATCCACGTTCACAAAGCGGCAGTGGCAGAGCTGGAATGACTACCCAGGTTGGAGCAAGTGTGGGCCAGGACAGTTCACCTCCACCACAGCTGCCTAATTTAAGGCACTAAAATAAGAAACTTCAACAAAACAACCCCAACAGTAACAACCTCAGCTGTGATGTGAGACAGGACAAGGCCCTGGTTTCTTTTTTTTTTTTTTTTTAGACAGAGTCTCGCTCTTGTCACCCAGGCTGGAGTGCAGTGGTGTGATCTTGGCTCACTGCAATCTCTGTATCCCAGGTTCAAGCGATTCTCCTGCCTCAGCCTCCCAAGTAGCTGGGACTACAGGTGTGCGCCACCACGCCTGGCTAATTTTTTGTATTTTTAGTAGAGACGGGATTTCACCATGTTGGCCAGGATGGTCTCGAGCTCCTGACCTCATGATCCACTCGTCTCGGCTTCCCAAAGTGCTGGGATTACAGACGAGAGCCACCGCGCCCAGCCCACAGCCCCAGTTTCTAACAAGTTGCTTTCTCAAGGGTCCTTTAAGAGGGTGAGGAAACCAGCTGCAAAAGCAAATGTTCAGACCTCAGATGCAAAACTCTTTCTGAAATCTGTTGGCCGACATAACAGCTTGGGCAAGGCTGAATGGGTGATAAGACAAGGAAGTAACCACTGAAGGCCAGTTTGGAAAGGGCCAGGAGGGGTGTACCTCTCTGGGACACATGTCAGGAGTGGAAGGTCTCCACTGCTGAAACTCCTGAAAGCCTGAGGAGTCCAGGAAGCCCAAGCTAGCAGATCCAGCCATTGATTTCCAAATCTGCTTTTCTAAGGATACAGTACTCCTTAGCTGTGTGGTGGTCAGCCTCTAAGACGGCCCCGAAGAGCCCCCCTTCCTAGTATTCGCATCCCTGTGGAATCCCCTTCTACACTGTGCCAGGGTGCTCCCTCTGGCCAACAGCACATGGTATGTCAATTCTGATACTAGGTTATAAAAAGATGGCAACTTCCGTCTTGGGTTCTCTCTGTCTCTCAAGTCACTCACTCTGGGGAAAGTCACCTGCCATGTGGTGAAGACACGGAGTCTATGTGACAAAGCCCATGTGGTAAAGAGCTGCGGTCTCCTATCCAGAGCCAGCAAGAAACTGAGGCTTCCTCCAAAAGCCACATGAGTGAGCTTGGACGCTGATTCTCCAGCCCCGGACAACTGTAGCCCCTTCAGACATCCAAACACATTTTCCAGAGAGATCTTGAACCAGAAGCATCCAGTGAAGCTGCTCCTGGATTCCTGACCCACAAAACCTGTGAAATCATAAATATTTGTGGTTTCAAGCTGCTAAATTCTAGGTTCCTTTGTTCTACAGCAGTAGCTAATACAAGTTTGATAAAACCATTTCCTTGGCTGGGCACGTAATCCAGGTGGCTGACGCCTCTAATCCCAGCACTTTGGGAGGTTGTGGCAGGTGGATCACAAGGTCAGGAGTTCAAGACCGGCCTGGCCAAAATGGTGAAATCCAGTCTCTACCAAAAATACAAAAATTAGGCTGGGCGCAGTGGCTCACGCCTATGATCCCAGCACTTTGGGAGGCCGAGGCAGGTGGATCATGAGGTCAGGAGTTCAAGACCGGCCTGGACAAAATGACGAAACCCCATCTCTACTAAAAAAACACTACAAAAATTAGCCAGGTGTGGTGGCAGACACCTGTAATCCCTGAGGCAGGAGAATCGCTTGACCCCGGGCAGCAGAGGTTGCAGTGAGCCAAGATTGTGCCAATGCACTCTAACCTGGGCGACAGAGTAAGATTACCCCCCCAATACAAAAATTAGCTGGGTGTGGTTGCACACTCCTGTAATCCCAGCTACTCAGGAGACTGAGGCAGGAGAATCACCTGAACCTGGGAGGCGGAGGTTGCAGTGAGCCGAGATCGTGCCACTATACTCCAGCCTGGGCAACAGAGTGAGATTCCATCTCAAAACAGCAAGAAAACCATTTTCTTTCTTATTGTTGGCACTGAGCTGTATCTGGCCAGGTGGTGCCCATCCCCAATCATTTCCCTCCTTCCTCCAGCTCATTTTACCCTCTCAACCCCTTTATTTTGAATATCCTTCTTAAGGCAATGAATCTCAACTGAGGGCCACTGCATACAGTAAGAGTCCAATTAGCCATTGCGTGACTGCAGGAGATAGCAGTTTCCATGAGTGGCGCCCCCCGGAGGTGTGCGGTACATAACCTGCACACTTCTCGGTGGCAGCCCAGCCAACACTACACCTGAAAAAGTGTCCGATGCCAGGTTTCTCTGCTGGGCAGAGCAAATGGGGCAATTCCTCCAAAGATCACAGACAAGAGACGTAGTGGAAGCTAGGCAGTTTTCACTGGGGCTGGCTGACCCATCGTGAGCTTGTAGGCAAAGCCCATGAGTTTGGGTTATTTTCTTTCTTCCCAAACAGGAAAGAAGCTGCAGAGCGTGATGGGTGACGGTAGATGAGGCTGGACACTGGAGTTGGACCCATGGTTCCAGTTGGAGCTGTCCATGTATTCACTGAGTGACTCCTCACGTGGCTTCACACTCAGGAAGCCATGGAATCTGGGACTCTAGCCCTCAGATTCCTCAGCTGCCAAATGGGAATAATAATTACACCCCTAGAGAGTGGCTGGAGGACGTGATAAGCTCACACACATATCATACCTGGTCAGCGTCCGACACGGAATCAACAGTTGAGGTCTTGCTTTATTGCCCAGGCTGGTCTTGAACTCCCGGCCTCAAGTGATCCTCCCCACCCAAGCCTCCCAAAGGGCTGGGATTATACATGTAAGCCACTGTGCCTGCCCCAATAGCAATTTTTTTTCTCTTTCATTTCCCCCCAAAGTGAGCCTCACACTCAGCTTGTTCCAGAGTAGATGATCAATAAGGATTTCTTGAATTAATTAAATAAGACACTCGATCTTTCCAAGAGGGAGACAGTCCTGTCCTCTAGTTCTGGGTAAATCAACAATCAACAACCACCATCATAGTAAGAAGGGCACATTCTTAGCTGAACAATACAGAGCGTACAATACCATTGGAAACATTTGCCCTCCTGAGCCTTAAGAAGTTGGTCATTTTTTTTCATGCTGGAGAAATTTCGGAAGAAACTTCATCCGTTCACAAAACACAGGCGCAGAGGCAGCAGCTGTGCGGTTCCGGATGTCCTTCAAGGGCTCTGCTGCAGGATGACTCTAACCTGGAGACGCACAGGCAAACATTTAGTCAATAACTCAAGCCTGACTTAACCGGCATGAAGCTGCCAAGCGCGCCGGAGCTAGAAACAGCCCCGCCTGGATGGACAGCCCTTCCTTTGTCTCCTGGATTGGGTCTGAGAGGCTCCAAATTGGAGAGAAAATGCCAGCCTGTTTCTTCTCTAGCTTAAGGACACAGATCAACCGCTGACGTCAGAGGACAATTCCCTCCCCTCACAGTTATCCGGTCCAAAAGGTCGTGCCAGGTAATGGGACACATAGCAGAGCAATGCTGGCATGGTCCAGGGGAGCTGCCTTGTCTGGGCCTGCACACTAAGGCTGAGCAAAGATTTTAAAAGAGGAGAAAACAGCCTGACTCTATTATCCATTAGAGGAAGAAGAAGCTTGGATCGTCAAAGACAAACAAAACTCATCAACCAGACAGCAAACTCAAAAGGCTGACTGTTGGTGGCTCAGGCCTGTAAATCCCAGCACTTTGGGAGGCTGAGGCGGGAGGATTGCATGAGGACAGAAGTTCGAGACCAGTCTAGGTAACATACTGAGATCTCCATCTCTACAAAAAAATTAAAAATTTGCCTGGTGAGGTGGTGTGCACCTGTAGTCCCAGCTACTCGGAAGATGAGGCTGGAGGATCACTTGAGCCCAGGGAGTTGAGGTTGCAGTGAACCATGATCGCTCTCCAGCCTGGGTGACAGAGTGAAACCCTGTCTCAAAAAAAAAAAAAAACAAGGCCAGGCACAGTGGCTCATGCCTGTAATCCCAGCACTTTGAGAAGCTGAGGTGGGCAGATCACAAGGTCAGGAGTTTGAGACCAGACTGGCCAATATGGTGAAACCCCATCTCTACTAAAAATATAAAAAAATTAGCCGGCATGATGGCATGTGCCTATAATCCCAGCTACTTGAGAAGCTGAGGCAGGAGAATTGCTTGAACCCAGGAGGTAGAGGTTGCAGTGAGCTGAGATCGAACCACTGAACTCCAGCCTAGGCGACAGAGCGAGACTCTATCTCAAAAAAAAAAAAAAAAAAAAAAACCAAAAAAAAAAAAAATCACCCTGATCTTCCTCCTCCCATGTCTCTGATGCTGGTGCTGACTCCTCTCTAGGTGGGCGGTGGGTTATTGTTCTAGCGATGACTCTGGGCCTCTTGGAAAGCCCTCTGAGTGACCCACGGCGCAGATAACCAATGAAGTGACTGCTGACTGCACTCAGAGATGGCAACTGTTCCATACGGAGTGAGCAGAAAGCCCACCGGCCCCTGACCACTCCTCCCCTGCCCCATCGAACCCTCTACTCACCCTCCTCCCAAGAGCTGTCCGTTTCACGCCACTCACAGGCACCAGGTGCCAACGGGGCAGCCAGCTCTGAGCTCCAAGTAGGGAACACAGCTGCAGGCAGGTGGGTGTGAACGGGAGCGGGCAGGCAGCAGACAGGGAGAGAGCTGAAGGACGGGATCACTTCGGGTGGGATAGTGTCGTGAGGAGAAGAAACTGGTTCTGGGATCGAGGGATTCTAGTGGGGCTCCTTCGGACAGGTGGCCAGGGAAGGCCCTTCTGAGGAGGTGACATTTTAGCAGAGCAGACCTGGCTGACTGAAGGAGAGGGGCCCACCAAATACAGCACGTTCTGGGTAGAGGCAGGACTCGCTACACATTCACAGGGCCCAACACAAAACTAAATGTGAGGCCCTGCTCCAAAATGATGAGAAATTCAGGATGGCCATGCAGAGTGCTCGGGGTCACACACCCAAGCAGGCCCTGGTCAAAGGAACACTAAGTCCTATAGCCCTAAGGCTTGGAAAGTTCCAGAACTTGAAAGGAGGCCAGTGTGTTCTGGAAGGCAGAAGGCACGAGAGGCGCTCAGAGTGGTATGCGAGAGAGATTGGGGGACAGGCTGTGGTAGCCCCTGAGACCGGTAAGCTGGGAAACCCCTGGGGGAGCTTTGCATGAGGGAGGGGCTTGATCAAATAAATTTTTTTCTTATTTATTTTTTTTTAAAAGAGAGGGGGTCTTTCTGTGTTGGCCAGGTTGGTCTTGAACTCTTGGCCTCAAGCAATCCTTCCACCTTGGCCTCCCAAAGTGCTAGGATTACAGGTATGAGCCACCACGCCCACGCTCGATTGCCCTGGCTGGAGTGCAGTGGCATGATCTCAGCTCACTGCAACCGCTACCTCCAAGGTTCAAGCAATTCTCCCGCTTCAGCCTGCCAGGTAGCTGGGATTACAGGCCTCTGCCACCACGCCTGGCTAATTTTTGTATTTTTAGTAGAGACGGTGTTTCACCACGTTGGCCAGGCTGGTCTCGAACTCCTGACCTCAGTGATGCGCCCACCTCGGCCTCCCAAAGTGCTGAAATTACAGGTGTCAGCCACCATGCCCGGCCCAGGATTAATATGTTTAAAGACCCCACTTGCTGCTGGGTGAGGCTGATGTGGACTGGAGGTCTGAGAAGAAGCAGGGAGTAGACTAGAAGGCTGAGGGGATGGTGGCTCTGGCCCAGCGATGACCCAAACTGCCCACGGCTCACTCCTGACAACCAGCTCAGTGTCATCGCTCACGCCCCCGCTTCTGTCTGAAGTTTCCATTCCCCTTGCACCTTGGACACTTACCTGCACGGTCATGTCCATCCTTCAACCCGACCTCAAAAGCCACCCCCTCAGTGACACCTGGCCCGGCTCCTACCTACACCCCAATGGCACCCACCTCCCGAGCTCCCCGCTGGGGTGTCCTTAGCATTCCTGGTGTCCCCGCAAAGTGCCCGGCTCGTCTTGACACGGAGCAGCCTGGTATGTGCTCGGAAACTTGCAGCTGAGTGAGTGAAGGAATTTATTACTTTGTATTAGAGGAAACAGGGCTCTGTTCCAACCAGGCAAATCTGAGCCTAGATCCTGACCTGAAAAAGAAGAATTCTATTTCCAAACACCCGGCACATTTCCCTCTCATTACATTAAAAAAAAAAAAAAAAAAAGTCAAAGAAAGAAAGAAAGAGAAGAAGCTGGCTCCTGAGGCTGCCGCACTCATATTGCAGCCTTTGAATATTGTTTACGCTATATTTGTCCTGTCTCCAGGCATCACCCTAGGAGACAGAAAGGAAAATGCCAAACCATTTCTTCTTGGCCTGGCAACCGTGGCGGAATGTTACCCTGCTGCCTTCTGGCGGCCAGGACAGTCACTGCAAATGTCCCGGAGCGATCATCTCTAGAGAGGGCAGGAAGAACAGGCTGGTTTTGATGCCAAATGATTTAGCCAGGAGAGGTCCAGGCTGAGGACCTCTTGGGCTGGTGGCCTCCAGTAACCTGGGCTGTTATTTATCCCAGGTGGTCTCACAGTCCTAGAATTCAACTGCACAGTAGCTGGACGACATCTCCCCTGGTCAGGCGACTTGCAGCCCTGGCTGAGGCCAGAAACACTGAGCCCTTACAAGTCTTTTTATGGTTCCTTCACAGGGCTCTTTTATTTACCTGCTGTGCAGATGAGACCTAAGAAAAACCCAGACCGAACGTATAATTTGGAGCTAAGTACATGATGGATGCCCAGAGATTTAAAATTAGCCGAGTAAACTTAATATTGGGGCATTATGCTTGCTTTCCAGCGCCTGAATGTCTGTTAGGATGCATTGCTTGGGAATAACTCTTGATAAAATAATCAGACTCTATTCTCCCTGGAAAAGAAAAATAAGGACCTGTTCTGAAGGGGACCAGTTGTCCTCGATGTTCTTCAACCGAATCAGGGAGGAGAGCTGGTTGTCTGTGCACACTCACGTCCAATGTGTGGGATCATTTGGTAGTTTGCACCAATGAAAGTGAGATTTGAGGTGATTTCCAAAAGGCAAACATGTATTCGCTATTTTATAAGCATATCCCACTTAGCTTTGGCAAACAAGGCCCTCTCCTCACCCCCACCCTATGGAAGGATGAATGATAGGTGGGGGGTGGGGTTATGAAGAGGTGTGTCCCCCAGCACCTGGGAGTTCATGATAGGAGATGATAGAAATTCATGTTAATGGCTCACACGCAGGGAACATTCACACTTACTTTTTTTTTTTTTAAAGATGGGGTGTCGGTCAGGCTGGTCTTGAACTCCCGACCTCAGGCGATCTGCCTGCCTTGGCCTCCAAAGTGTTTGGATTACAGGCATGAGCCACCAAGCCTGGCCATCACACTTACATTTTTTACATGCATTATGTCATTTGATCCTTACAATAATTTCATGAGGTAGGTACTATCACCTCCATTCATTCAATGGAGAGGCTGAGGCTTAGAGTGCCGACATGAGCCTACAATCAGGCGGGAGGAAGCGACTGCAGAGCCAGAATTCAAACTGCCCGATGCATAATCAAATACCCTGCACTGTCTTCATCCAGAGCAGGGTGTAGTTCACCGGCTGTTATGCCTCTGATATCGTCTGTTGAAATTGTAGGGAGCTAATCAATAACACCCTTTAATGCCCTTTAGGGTATGCCAACAATTGAGACATGCACTGTATTAGTTATATGTAACAAAGGATCCCAAAATGTAGCAGCTTCAAACCACTGTAAAAATGTATTGTCTCATAGTTTCTGAGAGTCAGGAATCTGAGAGCGGATGTGTTGGGTGATTATAGGGAAGAGACTCTTATGAGGTTGCAGCGAAGAGATCAGCCAGGGCTACAGTCAGCTCAAAGCTCGGTTGAGGCTGGAAGACTTGCTTTTCGTTTGTTTGTTTGTTTGTTTGTTTGTTTGTTTGTTTTGTTTTAGACGGAATTTCGCTCTTCTTGCCCAGGCTGGAGTGCAATGGTGCGATCTCGGCTCACTGCAACCTCCACCTCCCGGGTTCAAGTGATTCTCCTGCTTCAGCCTCCCAAGTAGCTGAGATTACAGGCATGGGCCACTACACCAGCTAATTTTGTAATTTTAGTGGAGACGGGGTTTCTCCATGTTGGTCAGGCTGGTCTCGAACTCTTGACCTCAGGTGATCCGCCTGCCTTGGCCTCCCAAAGTGCTGGGATTACAGGTGTGAGCCACCGCACCTGGCCAGAAGACTTGCTTTTAAGCCCACTCACTTGCCTGATGGTCTCCTTCCCTGCCATGTATGCTTCTCTCTAGGGCTGCTCATGACAGGGGTGCAGGCTTCCCCAAAGCAGGTGATGAGAGAAGGAGTGGGTGGAGAGAGAAAGAGAGAGAGAGAACCCAGTAGTGACATACTATCATTTTTGCCACATGCTAATGATCACACAGACCATGCCTCATACAGTGTTGCCCTGTACAAGGGCATGAGTACCAGGAGCCTGGAAGTATTAGGCACCATCTCGGAGGCTGCCTCTACCACATGGACAGAAAAGTTGGGAATATAGAGAACAAAATGATGGTTTTAAAACTGGCCATAAAAGCTGGCCGAACGTGGTGGCTCACGCCTGTAATCCAAGCACTTTGGAGGCCAAGGTGGTCAGATCAACTGAGGTCGGGAGTTCAAGACCAGCCTGACCAATATGGTGAAACCTCGTCTTTAAAAAATAAAAAATAAATAAAAAATAAAACTGAAATAGCTGCCTCAAAGGAAGTGGCATAAGATGTGTGGTCATAGGGGCTTCTTAGTACTTTATCTCTGAAGTAGAGACACTTGCCATCTGGCCAAAGGTTCGGCTGGAAAACCAGCGCCTCTTCTGCAGGAGCAAGTAGCGAGGTTACGTTTAAGGCGTGGAGCAGTAGAGAACACACAGTGAGGACCAGACACGGCAGAGACGATGCACTGAGCTGGGCAGGCTCAGCAGCATCTCCCAGTGGCCAAACCCAGGTCATGCCTCTCCTCTCCCAGGAGGCTGGGAATGCAGGCTGGGAATGCTTCTCTTTAAGACATGCCCAACGCGAACCTATGGCCCGGGAATAGATTTCTTTTCTTTTCTTTTCTTTTTTTTTTTTTTTTGAGACAGAGTTTCTCTCTTATTCCTCAGACTAGAGTACAATGGCGTGATCTCGGCTCACCGCAAACTTCGCCTCCCGGGTTCAAGTGATTCTCCTGCCTCAGCCTCCCGAGTAGCTGGGATTACAGGCATGCGCCACCATGCCCAGCAAATTTTGTATTTTTAGTAGAGATGGGGTTTCTTCATGTTGGTCAGGCTGGTCTCGAACTCCTACCCTCAGGTGATCTGCCTGCCTCGGCCTCCCAAAGTGCTGGGCCCACATGTGTGAGCCACCAGACTCAGCCTGGATTTCTCACTACACCATCCCCGGCCCAATCCACTCACTCTTCCACCACCGACTGCTACATCTGATGGACGTTTATGGACCCTTGTGGGCCAGGACTGTTTCTCATGGGTGTGGGTGTCCCCAGAACCTATCACAGTGCATGACATACGCCATCCTCCTCCTCCCCTCTTCTATCATCAAGTGCCTAGCATGTGCTAAGCAGTGTACTAATTCTTTCATGGGAATACTCTCATTCAGTCACCATAACCCTCTGTTTTGTGGCAGGTACCAATACTACCCCATTTAACGGATAAGTCAGCCTTACAGAAGTGAAGGCGCCAATGGTCACAAGTTAGCAGGTGGCAGAGGTGGGATCTGGTACCAGCCATCTTGACTCCACTGCCACGCTCTTAAACTCCACGCCAGAGAGGCTGTGTTCAGTAAATATTTGTTGAAGTAGATTCATTCGAAAATAACCTTTGCCTTTAAAAAGCAGAGAAAATTTAAGCAAGTAAAATTGTTGGACCATCGCAAGCTCTAGACAGAACCTAATTCCCTCAGTTCTATTTCCAGGTCCCAAGAATAAACCTAAAATTGAAAAGAGGAACATCTTGCAGATAAATCATCTGTTTCCAAAAGGCGAACTCATAGGCCAGGAAGCCACTTCCTTTTCAGCTTAAACTTTCATATTCCCAGTCACTTCTGCAGATGCTGCCTCCATGATTAAAAGAAGAGCTGTTGCGGAGACCTTAGCAGGCAGGAGTAGGTGAGAGTCTGGCTCCCCTAAATCCCCACTAGAAGTTTAGCACGACGGTCAGGGCTGATGGCTGGTTGGCTCTGAGCACCGGGGAATGGGGAGGGGTACTCCACTTCCCAAGAACACAATTTCAGAGTTTGTTTATGAGGCAAAGAAATGAAAGGCCGAGAGACAGACTTCTCAGAGCCTTAGTGCCTCCACGTAATTTGTTGGCTTGTCTGGAAGCTACAACCCATTTGCTGTTAATGCGGTGGCGCCTGACCTGCTGCTTTGGTGTTCCCCACCCCCAGCTACGTTCATCTGATTATGCCAACTCACGTTACAGTTCCCACACTAGAGCTGACCAGCTGCCACGTGTGCACCAACTATGAGATAGGAGTAAGGCAAAGTTTAAATGTGTCCTCCCAAATTCTTTTGTACCTGCCACGTAACAGAGGGTTGTGGTGATTGAATGAGATCATTCCCGTGAAGGAATCAGCACACTGCTTAGCACATGCTAGGCACTCGATGTTGGAATAGGGGGAGGAGGGGGATGGCACATGTCATGCACTGTGACAGGTTCTGGGGACACCCACATCCATGAGAAACAGTCCTTGACCACAGGGGTCCGTAAATGTGGGCCGGGGTCCCTACAGATTATATTCAACCAATATAAACTCACAATACAAAAAATTACCAAATGCTTCAGGAAACAAGCTTCGCTGAGTGAGACCAACACAATTAACCAAATACAGATATAGAATTATATGAATTTCTGATACTGGAACTGCCAGATACAAAATATAAAGTATGAAATGTTTACAGAAACATTGACTGACGGTGCTTATACCCATTCCAGGGGACACAAGGTCACATGAGACATGAGCAGATAAGATTTCATGAAAACACGAAGCCGGGCGTGGTGGCTCAAGCCTGTAATCCCAGCACTTTGGGAGGCCGAGGCGGGTGGATCACGAGGTCAAGAGATGGAGACCATCCTGGTCAACATGGTGAAACCCCGTCTCTACTAAAAATACAAAAAATTAGC